AACCCTAAACCTAAACCCAAAACCCACTCCGACTTTTGCATTTAAGATCCACTTCGATGTTATGATCACCATGCTCACGGCAGTGGCCAGAATCATGGTAATGAGAACAAGTATAGAACCGTCACAACAAGGGTAGCATGCTGCATGGTAGCATCAAAAATCACTGTACGGTAGCATCAAGAACCAGAACCTCAGAAGCCGTGTTGCTGCAGGTATGAAAGTGTCGCATTCTGAATGGTACCTTGCTGGTACGTACTGTCCCTTGGGCAGAGACGCAGTATTGGGTGGCATCGTGTACCTTCGCGAGCACGTCACACAGCAGGACATGGTGTAGCTTGGACACTGTGGATTCAGCACTTGTGGCTGCCGGTCTCTGTGGATGTCGTTGTCAACTAGGTTCCCCCGTAGTTCCTACACCACATGCCCCGAAATTTGGTTTCTTCAAGTTGGGAAGCTCCTCTTGTCGCCGTGGTTCACTTGGAACGGAACCCTAAAGTAAAAACAGCTCACTTTGGACTGAAGGCAATTTTTCGGAGGAGGTTGGCACCGGCAATCGACAGAGAAAGGGGTTCCATTCTCCGGGACTCAGGAAGCAAAAAAGCACAACAAGGATTTCCGATTCTCCATGAACTCCAACCCAAATATCAGCCTTCCAGAGCGACAGCCGACAAGCTCTAAGTGCCTCAACAGAAAAGCGCAAGGCTTTAAAGATCATTGGAGTTTGTGCTTGCTGGCTGTGCAAAGATGGACCTTCTGCTTGTTCACCCAGCTTCCGGGATTTCAAGCAACTGCAAGAAGCCTGGAACGTTATGGTCATTAGGCCTTGAAAGCATACTTGAAAGCAAAGTCATTTTTTGCAAACTTGAAAGCAAAGTCATTTTTGCAACCAAGAAAGTCATGTTTGCAACCAAGAGTGACGGCATTTGCCTCCGACCCTGCAGCGTCCGAATTAGCAAGTCGCCTGAACCCCACATATACAAAGCCGCAGAAACAAAGAAGGCCTAAACCCGAAACGACCCCTAGTACAGTCGTCCGCAGCCGCCGGTAAATGTCTGAAACATGGAGTCTTCCAGGTATCTTCGTGAGGGATCCAGCGGTTGTGGTGCCAACGAGTGGGCGTTGATGGCACCTTCAAGTGCAGACTTCATCGACAAGGCCCCCATCGGGTATTGGGTCTTGAGTCCCTAGTTCCCGGCTAAATGTAGTTTTGGGGTCCCTTAGTTCCCCCCCCCTCCCACCGCAGCATGGGATTATTGAAACCAGGACAGGCATCGGACCCTAAACTAAACCCCAAGCCCTGA